AACTGCCCTAATAAGAGTTACTTTTTTAATACATATATTAAATTAAATACTGGCAAATACATTTAAATTTTAAATTGTTTACTATACTTTTTTCACCGTGAAATATTTGATATCAAATAAAAACTGTAAATTTTATTTAGCCTCAAAATAAAACAAAAGTGGAGACAATGTATGAAAGAACAATTGTTAGAAATAATAATAACAATGGCAACATAAAAAAAAAAAAACACGTAAAACAGTGGAACTGCGGTAGACGTTAAAATAAAAAAATAAATATGACAAGTGTAAAATAAGACAGATAAAAAAGTATACGTGGGTTCAAGTCACAGTATAGAGATAAATATAATTTAGTAAATGAAATAATTATTTAGAGTATATATTTAATTTTTTTTAAATAAATTAATCAAATTTTTATTGCTTGAAATTTTCATAAAATTTTTTAAAGTTCTGATCGATTATTTCCAAAAAATTATTTTAAAAACGCGCTTTTCAATTCAAAAATTTATTATGACAACAGAGATTAATTTTAATTTTTTTTTTTTTTTTTAGCAAAAAAATTAATTAATTAAAAAAAAATTTAATGTCAAGTAACTTGAATCTTATAAAAATTGGAAAAAGTCAATTGTTTACTGAAAATTTATATGCATTTGACAATTTTTTTTTAAATTACTTTTTTAGTCAGATTTTTTTCTTAAATAAAATTTCAAAATAATCATCAGATATCAATTTATTTTTTATCATCTGGAAAATTTTTGTAAAACGAATGTAGGTCTCTATCCATTGAATTAAATTAAAAAAAAAAATCAATCGATTATTCAATTATTCAATTTAAAAATTGAAAATTAAAAACTATCAAACACCTGCTCTATAATAAGTACTTTTAAATTTCATGACATAAAATATCGTGATAGAGGCGTGGTAAATTCAAATAACGATAGATAACATTAAAGTGAATAAGTAACTCCAAAATTCCAAGGAATTGAAAAGCTTGAAGAGTATACTCACGTACCGTCGACATATTTTTAATTGCCATGTTATAAAACATTGATAAATGTTTAAAAATTTCCCGCGATATTTGACAGCTTCGCCCAAGGACACGCGAGTTTGATATAAAATAAACTAAATAAATAATGAGGTATGAGCTGGATTAAAAATTCTTTGAAAAAGTGAAACAACATAAAATGAAAATTAGTGAGGAAAAAATAATAAGGGAGATAGGAAAAGGGTTAGCTTACCAGGTGCAGTACGGTGTTGACGACTTCGCGATTAGACACCTGTCCAACTTCAATAAGCCCAATCAAGACGGCAAATTTTAAGCTGTCGTTCATCGCCATCGCCACTACCTCCTCCGGTCTTTTGATATCACTAAACGGTGGACTTTTAATGTCCGCCATTGTCATAAGCACTTTTATTTAAATATAACAATTACCACTTGTTAAACTCCCGGTTATTGTTACACCAATTATCTTATTTATTTTTTTATTATTAAAATGTTACGAGTCCTTGTTCGTCACATGATAATGCAACACAGATTGATCTGCCATGTTAGAAAGTCGACACTGTTGTACTGATTACTGTCACTCTTACACTACAACAAATTCCCTAGCTTATTTTTAATTCCCTAGTTTCTTTTTTATCACTAGACTTGTCACTAGCAAAAATTCGATTGGCGCGCCATCTACTTTTAAAATTGCGTGTCGACATTTAAAATTTTTTTTTTTCATGGTTCTTATTAAAATTCGTGATAAAAAAATATTATAAATAAATTTTTCATAACGAAGCATTTTTAATTTGATAAAAATAATTAATCAAAACTAAATTAATATTTTCCTGATTCCCGGCAATTTTTTAATTTTGCAATTTGATTTTTGTTTTCATCTTAATTATTAGAAGAATAATCATTGAATAATTATTTATCAATTTCTCAATATTTATACTAACAATAATAAAATTGTACTGACAAAAAAAAATTTTTTTTTTTTTTAAATCATTGTTTCTGACTCTTTGACTAATATTTGATCATTTTCAAGTTTTCAATTAATTATAATATTCTATCCAATAAATAATGAATTATCATTATAATGTGTGTTGTAATGTGATAGAAAAATCAACGGAAAAATGATATTGTCAGACGCCGGTATTAAAATGCGTTGACATTTGAAATCAAAAAGTGTTTGTTCATGACAATTATTATTTCCAGAGCTTCTAAATAATTAAAACTATTATTTAAAATACAATTTGGGTTTAATTAAAGCTAATTACTAGTTAAAAATTATGAAAATAAGGAGCGGTACATCTGCTTACGCGAGCGACTTGTAAGTTTGTGCCGTCATCTTGTGGTTTTTAACGCAATCCATTATGGCAGCGCTACTTGCTGTCTGGAGGAGGGAAGGTATAAATTTATGACCCTGAAGTTAGCGAATAGCAGACAAAATAAAATTTCAGATAGGGATATCAACAAGCGAAATTAAGTTTTTCGAGTTTACCAAATTATAAATGGTTTGTCGTTGACTTACCTACAGATGATAATAAACAAATTTTTTTTTTGCTAATAGAAAATTTTTTACATTAAAAATTAAATTTTGGGAAACTCTCACCGTGTTTCCTATCGTTTCATACATATGAAATTTTCAAATTTAGTTTATTTTTAAATCCAAAAAAGATGATTTCAGTTAGTTTTTTTAATTTTGGCTTAGGGCATTCTGGGACGTTTATCTGCGAGTAAAATGATTATTATTAAAAAAAAAAAAAA